TGTGTGATGTAGGTATGTGTGATGTAGGTATGTGTGTTGTAGGTATGTGTGATGTAGGTACGTGTGATGTAGGTATGTGTGATGTAGGTATGTGTGATGTAGGTATGTGTGATGTAGGTATGTGTGATGTAGGTATGTGTGATGTAGGTACGTGTGATGTAGGTATGTGTGATGTAGGTATGTGTGATGTAGGTATGTGTATTGTAGGTATGTGTGATGTAGGTATGTGTGATGTAGGTATGTGTGATGTAGGTACGTGTGATGTAGGTATGTGTGATGTAGGTATGTGTGATGTAGGTATGTGTGATGTAGGTATGTGTGATGTAGGTGTGTGTGATGTAGGTATGTGTGATGTAGGTATGTGTGATGTAGGTATGTGTGATGTAGGTATGTGTGATGTAGGTACGTGTGATGTAGGTACGTGTGATGTAGGTGTGTGTGATGTAGGCATGTGTGATGTAGGTACGTGTGATGTAGGTGTGTGTGATGTAGGTATGTGTGATGTAGGTGTGTGTGATGTAGGCATGTGTGATGTAGGTATGTGTGATGTAGGTATGTGTGATGTAGGCATGTGTGATGAAGGTATGTGTATTGAAGGTATGTGTGATGTAGGTATGTGTGATGTAGGTATGTGTGATGTAGGTATGTGTGATGTAGGTATGTGTATTGTAGGTATGTGTGATGTAGGTATGTGTGATGTAGGTATGTGTGTTGTAGGTATGTGTGATGTAGGTATGTGTGATGTAGGTATGTGTGATGTAGGTGTGATATGTGTGAGGTATGTGTGATGTAGTGTGTGTGATGTATGTGTGATGTAGGTATGTGGTATGTGTGATGTAGGTATGTGTGATGTAGGTATGTGTATTGTAGGTATGTGTGATGTAGGTATGTGTGATGTAGGTATGTGTGTTGTAGGTATGTGTGATGTAGGTATGTGTATTGTAGGTATGTGTGATGTAGGTATGTGTGATGTAGGTGTGTGTGATGTAGGTATGTGTGATGTAGGTATGTGTGATGTAGGTGTGTGTGATGTAGGTATGTGTGATGTAGGTATGTGTGATGTAGGTATGTGTGATGTAGGTGTGTGTGATGTAGGTATGTGTGATGTAGATATGTGTGATGTAGGTATGTGTGTTGTAGGTATGTGTTTTTAGGTACGTGTGATGTAGGTATGTGAGATGTAGGTATGTGTGATGTAGGTATGTGTGATGTAGGCATGTGTCATGTAGGTATGTGTGTCCTTTATCATTATGACCTTCATGTGTGGTAATGTTAAACACATTTCAAAGTTTAATTAGGTACACGATGTACGTGATAGACGGGTACTGTGCTGTGATCGTGTTCACAGTTAAGGCGAAGATGACTGCACAAGTTGTTTTCCAAATCACCTTGTGGATAAACTGACTGTCATTTGGACAAAACAATCGCAGTTTGTAGCAATACGTACTTATTAATGTGGAAAGGAAAGCTGGAAACAGACTGTGTTATTGTTAGTGTCGTATGCTGAACACAGTGGGTTGCTAATAGGTGCGTAGGAAAGGCGGGCCGCCGAGAGACGGAGCGACAAAACATGAAATTAGCGGGGGCACGCGCCAGCATTGCACCTGCGTACAATTAGCGCCTGGTCTTGCGAGTGGCATTGCCGTGGTGAAACGTTACGGCACAAAGACCAAGTGTCCGAACAGAACTGACCGATGGTCATCGACACGTTATAATGAGCGACAGTCATTCGCATAAAGTCATCAAAAACGACCCCTGTAATTGTGAGTTATGTTTGTTTTGACCAGTGGTGCTCTGTCTAGTTACGCTTAAGATGAAATACACAACACATGATACACAATATCGTAAAATGTCCAGACCCTATAACATTCTGATTTTTCGTTATCAAAATAAACACAAAATATCATCTAATATCACACGAACTAAACGTTGTATTTGATATGAAGCAACAGCCAATATAACGAAGTCCATATCAGGACAATCACAGTCTTAGTTTCAGGAAAATATATCAGAATAGATACAAGACACCACGGTTTCCGTCTTACCAGACACTATTCACATAAGCTGTATGAATTTCTATTATGGAAATAGTGGTGTGAAAATGATAATTCAAATACCATGTAATTTCAAAAATAATCTTTGATAGACCATTTTTGTAGAAATGTTCTTGTGATTGGTTCCGTAAAACGAATTGAAGTATTCTATGAGTACTGAACTTAAACTATTCACCACTAAGGCGAGTTTTCAGTATTTCAGTCAACAACCACTGAAATTCTAAGATACTGAGAGTATATCATTTTCAGGCAATACCGAGCTTGTGCGATTACCCGACCTATACATGTATTACCGAGCTCGTCAACTACCTGTGTGGTAACCCAACCTACACGTGTATTACCAAGCTTGGCAACTATCTGTGTGATTACCCAACCTACACGTTTATTATCGAGCTCGTCAACTACCTGTGTGGTAACCCAACCTACACGTTTATTACCGAGCTCGTCAACAATACACGTGTATTACTGAGTCCTGTCACTACCTGTGCAGTAACCCGACATACACGTGTATTACTTAGCTCCGTCACTACCTGTGCAGTAACCCGACACACACGTGTATTACTGAGCCTCGTCACTACCTGTGCAGTAACCCGACACACACATGTATTACTGAGCTCTGTCACTACCTGTGCAGTAACCCGACACACACGTGTACACTGAGCTCCGTCACTACCTGTGCAGTAACCCGACATACACGTGTATTACTGAGCTCCGTCACTAACTGTGCAGTAACCCGACATACACATGTATTACTAAGCTCTGTCGCTGCCTGTGCAGTAACCCGACACACACGTGTATTACTGAGCTTATCACTAAATGTGCAGTAACCCGACATACACATGTATTACTGAGCTCCGTCACTGCCTGAGCAGTAACCCGTCATACACGTGTATTACTTAGCTCCATCACTAAATGTGCAGTAACCCGCCACTGTATTACTGAGCTCCGTCACTACCTGTGCAGTAACCCGCCATACACGTGTATTACTGAGCTCTATCACTACCTGTGCAGTAATCCGAACACACGTGTACACTGAGCTCCGTCACTACCTGTGCAGTAACCCGACATACGCGTGTATTACGGAGTTACTACACTACCTGTGCAGTAACACGCCCTTTACGCGCTTTATATCGAGCTCCGTAAGTAATTTCAGGGTAACTCCTGTACGCCTGTATCTCCGATGTGGCGGCTATATGTCGTATAACTCGCTTGATTCCTTCCTTACCCACGAAAATAACTTGTGTCACTTTTTTGGACGAGAGGGAGGGGTTTAATGAAAAATTATCATCAAACAAAACACTGAAATGAGTGTTAGTAAACAAACAAACATTTTTTATTTGTAGAGATATTTGACAAAATGTCAGTGTACGGAAAGTTGATTAAAATATTTTATTTATCCAAAATTCAGGTTCTGTGTTTAAATTTTACTGAATTTACATCAATAGGTAACAACAATAATTTATTTCTACCGAAGTGTTAGACTATGTAAAAAATAAAGAAAAAAACTTAAAATATTTTGGAAATTTTAGTTCAGCATAATGGTCAATCTTTGTCTCGTATTGTCCCATCCTATATTTGTTACTAGTATTTTCTAAAGGCCATGTCGAACTTAAGAAGTCGGATTGTGTGACAACATAAGTAATCCAATAACCATTTTTGCATGTGCATTGAATAAGACCGACAGAGACCGGTATTGGTGTCCCATGGATGTTCCGTGTACCGGCATATCTCTAGTCGGTAATTAGCACGACGGCAAGCGAGGACGGTGGCTGTCAAATAAGCCCCGAGTCAGGAGAACCCTTGCTGGCCACGGTCCCCTCCTAATCAATACCGCGGCTAGGGGTTACACGCGAGCTACCATCCCGATGTCAAATCCTTGTGACGGATAATGCATTTAGACTTTCTTAGCGTGAACTTAATTTCGATTCATGGATTCTTCTCTCCCGAGAATTCTATGCACTACCAATATAGTGTAGGACAGCTACGTGCCGGACTCATCAAATTGCCTTAAAGACGGAAAGTCCGTAAAATTAATTTTGAAAATAATGAAAGAGAAAAGATGTAATAATGATAGAGAATTAAGGAAAGTAGGTTTAGTAATTTAGTTTTGAGACAAAGTATTACACACGCATTCCCGAGTAACAAACTTACATGGAAAGAATGAAAGTACACAAAAGCCTTAATGTCGGATTTCCATGGTAATCCGTGTGTTTTCTTTGATCGTTCTATAATATTAATCTGGACTCAGGTCGTGTCCTGAGGACATATTGACCGGACGGTTGGAAAGCCAACCCAATATTCCGCTCGGATATGCCGAGGGCCGCTGAGGCGGTAAACTAAGTTTGGTTGGTATTCAATCAGCTGGAGACTTGGCGAGGATTTGGGAATTGATTTCATCCCGTCTTTATCCTCTGTCCGTGCCCCGGTCGTTTGCTCCACCGGACGGACTGCTTTGGCCCGCCGGATCATCATTGAACCTTCATTACCCTGAGCAGGCCGATTGTCCGATAACGGCCAGAGGTATGGCGGAGCATGATAAGAATAAGGCAAAAGAGATATATCGGGCGCGACTTGGCTCCGACAGGGCCTGTGTACAAAATACCATGTCAAGTGTCACTCTCCGATCGATTGCCAGACGCTGTGAAGTTTTGCCTGTATTTTAGCATGGTGTGTATAGACTACTCAGATAACGTGTTCCCCTGCTCGTCTCTCATCTTACACTATTGATAACATTACTTTAATACGGCTAATTATTTTTGTCTGACCTCATATCCTCTAGACACTTTAACGCTAGAACGCACACTCCTGGGATATCACTATATATCCTGTCCCCTAAAAATCGAATGCTGCACTGATTGACACGCCGCTCAAGTTTTAAATCAAAAGTTAGGAACGCTATCTATAATATATATTAGTAAAATATTGAAAGAAGAAAAAAAAACTTACCACCTGTTTCGTTGGTACGTAAAGGAAAGTCTCTTTAAGTCCATGGATTGTGTCGATTCCATCAAATGGTCCCAAACGGAATCCTTTAGCTTTGACCCAAAACCTGAACTTGGAGTTTTCTGCAGAAGATGGTTCCTCGCCTGTCAATATTCTTACTATCCTATTATACTTTTTCTCTGTGACAGTTTTCGTTTTACCACTGTCTCCGTAATTCTGAAGGGCCCAGGACTGAAATGTCTGAAACATTTCACTTCTGTTGATCGTATGATTAGCAGGAGACACGCCATCCCCCTCTACAGAAGCAGACGACATTACAAAGACGTCAACAGGCCGGTCACCGTTGAACAAATGATGCGCCGGGAAGAATTCCAATTTAGGTATATATATTATAACGGCGGATAGCGGTGTAGCGCACCCTACAGGACTGGGCGGCGATGGTACAGCGACACTTGGCATACAGTCTACAGCGGCCTGGACTAGGCTCTGTGGCGAACGTAAATTGTCACAAACAGCGGTGAACCGGCTCACGCACGAGGAAGGACGAACTCGCACGAGATTTTCTCTAATTAGGACTGTTTATGTACGAGGACAAAGGTAATGGACACAAATGACCAATGACAATACTGGAAAGCATCTGTCCCGTTTAGGAATTAATATGTCGTGATAATACCAGTTCTTCACAGTAAATATTCGAGAAATAATTCGAATGGGAGAGGGCGGGACATTGTACTGCTACATTGGCAGGACTGTTTTAACATGATTAAGGTTCCAAAACAGACATGTTGTTTGTGAGCGCTACAGACAAATACAATTAATGCTTCGAACAATGCCTCGGTAGAAGGTTCTTTAGCATTTTACGGTAAATTAAATCCTCGTATCTAATTCCGTCTCAGCACACCCTGCATCCTGTAAACCAGTATTGTTGTTTCTGGGACCAGGATACCTACTAAATGCAAGCGTCGGAATGAAAGAGACCATAATGCAATTTAACGGGAAATCTGGTATAATGGGCCTGGGACGAGGCCCGAAGTACTAAGGATTCCTGGAACACTAGATCACACCAAACAAGTTGTCACCAACGTAAAACACATTAATGATCACGTGAAGCCTGAAGCACGACAAATTCCTGAATACCTACGGTTCACTGTGTTCACTCGCGAACACAACACAATAATGACATTGTGTCTGTCTCGTTTAACCAGTATTACAAATATAGGGTTTTCATATTACTTTTCTACGATGCTGTCTTGATCTGCAATTTTTCGGATTAATCTTTAATAAACAAAAAAGAAATGTCTGAGACGCAAAAAAATCTTGTCAGAGTAGTTCGATGTTTTGATGATTTCGTCGAGGCAGGTGTCTTTAAAAGTCAAGTTATATCATGTCTCATTATCAGTTCTTAACTGAAACAAGATTTGAGAATAAAAGGTGTGATTCCATATCTCCAGGTGTTTCCAGTATGTTTTCAGGTCCATCGACACTTTAGGGGGTAATAATTGTACCGCGAAGTAACTGTATAGATTAACTGTAAAAATGGCAAGTATTTCAGTTTTGATTTGTCTGTTAAACCTGTAACACGCAGGTTGGTAATTGTTTATACGGAAACTGTTGACGCGTTAGTGTGTTTAATGGGAAGTACGCGGATTGTCGCTGTTTGCTCTAACCCTACCGCGTTGTCAGACATTGTCATGAAAACGCTATTTTCTATATGTAAAAATAAATCTGGTATATTATGAATCTAAGTATTACTTGTATGCAACACACTACTGGGAGATGCTCAGTACACAAACCTCACACTACGCATGCGTCAGACCATACCTGGGCGAGGTGTTGACACGACTAATGAACATGCACTACAGGGGAGCATGCCCTATTTTCCAGGTGAACGACAAGAAAACTACTAATTGAACACATCCAGGTGGTTTCATCTGTCCGCCCAGGCCTTAGTTCAGGTATCCGATTCTATTGGGTATTTATAATTAGCCGGACAGACAGCGGCGATCAGACAAACCGTAATTGTGGGCAGACATGTATATTCGTTGTGAGAGTTGCTTACCTCTAAGGTCATGTCACACACAGTATTTACTCTCATTATCAGGGTTTTTCGCATCATATATTGAATTTACAACACAAATTTCATGATAATAACACGCCTTTCAGTGATTATCGAATTTTAAACTGATGATTATGGAGAATATAATTATACTTTACAAGTAAAAATATCTAATACAAAATGACTATGAACCTAATGTGATTTATTTATTTGTTTTTTCTTTATTTTTATAAGCCTTCGGGAAAATGATATTTATCAAAACAAAATCATAGTGTAGAATTATGTACGAATTTCTGCGTGTTTTAGTTTTCTCCTCCAAACCCTAACCCTGCTGCTCCAGCGTATAGTTGTGATCTCTGATTTCAAACAACCATTTTAATATTCTAATTTTTCACGATGATATACATATATATATACAAATACAGAACAAGATATAAAAGCGCGTGCGGTAAGTTTGCTTCATCAGAAGGTTTTAGGCTGTGCCGGACACTACTAGAATTCATTATCGATATCATTTCAGTCGTTTGACCAGTAGGAATTAAGCTGAAATTAGTTCCTAAATGTTTTGCGTCGCCAATAGGTGGCGTGATGGTCTGGGATTTGCACGTGTAAATTCATACCACGTGTTACCTTTACGTGTCATTTACTACCACAGACATTACCGGACACTACTAGAATTCGTTATCAACGTGATTCTCTCAAAAAATTAACATCCCATGGATTTTTCAATATGAACCTAATTCATTAAAGTTGGAATTTCACGAGTAATATGTTTTATCAGAATAACACAAAATGCCATGTATTATGTTTTAAGGATGTCGTGTTTTTGTAGAGATTTCAATATAATTTTTCAAAGAAGACAAAGGACCCGAAAAAGAATAAATGAGAATTTCCATTTCTTGGAAATTATTTATACAGAATACGGTGAATGACCGATATCTTTCAAATTAAAGGTCTGCTACATATTGATGTAAACTTCCCTCTGTGGTTTATGTATTGACGTCGGCTATCACCCTCTGTGGTATATATATTGACGTCGGCTATCACCCTCTGTGGTTTATATAATGACGTCAGCTATCACCCTCTGTGGTTCATATATTGACGTCAGCTATCACCCTCTGTGGTTTAAATACTTACGTCAGCTATCACCCTCTGTGGTTTATATATTGACGTCAGCTATCACCCTCTATGATTTATATATTGACGCCAGCTATCACCCTCTGTGGTTTATATATTGACGTCAGCTATCACCCTCTGTGGTTTATATATTGACGTCAGCTATCACCCTCTTTTGTTTTATATACTGACGTCAGCTATCACCCTCTGTGGTTTATATATTGACGTCAGCTATCACCCTCTGTGGTTGACATACTGACGTCAGCTTCACCCTCTGTGGTTTATATGTTTACGTCAGCATTCACCCTCTGTTCTTTACGTATTGATTGCAGCCTACACCTTGGATATGTCAGTCATATTGCGATGATTGACATGACAATGACATTAATTCAAGCCGTATTTCTATGGTTTCCTAAAATTACATAATCTTTCGAGGATGTGGTATAGCGTGATATTTGAGCCGTAATATTAAGGTCCTACAGAAATGAAATCACATCAGTCAACCTATTTCATCGATTAATTTAAAACAATCACAACGAAAATGTAAAATTATCGCCGTTTGTTGTAAAATGTCCGACTTCCACTTAACCATGCATATGACCGCATTTGTGTAAACCCTTCATTCAAAGCTGACCAGGACGGTCACACATTCTAAACCTCAAAGCTGACCACGACTGTCACACACACTACACTTCACAGTTGACCAAAGATGTCACACACACTACACTACACAGTTGACCAAAGATATCACACACACTACACTACACAATTGACCAGGACTGTCACATACGCTTCACAGTTGACCAGGACTGTCTCACACAATACACTACACAGTTGACCAGGACTGTCATACATTCTAAACCTCAAAGTTGACCAGGACTGTCTCACACACTACATTAAACAGTTGACCAGGACTGTCTCACACACTACACTTCACACCTGACCAGGACTGTCAAACACACTACACTTCACACCTGACCAGGACTGTCACACACACTACACTTCACAGTTGACTAGGACTGTCACACACACTACACTTCACAGTTTACCAGGACTGTCACATACACTACACTTCACAGTTGACCAGGACTGTCACACACTACACTTAAGAGTTCACCAGGGCTGTCACACACACTACACTACACAGTTGACCAGGACTGTCACACACACTACACTACACAGTTTACCAGGACTGTCACACACACTACACTTCACACCTGACCAGGACTGTCACACACACTACACTTAAGAGTTCACCAGGACTGTCACATACACTACACTTCACAGTTCACCAGGACTGTCACACACACTACACTACACAGTTCACCAGGACTGTCACACACTACACTACACAGTTCACCGGGACTGTCACACACACTACATTACACAGTTGACCAGGACTGTCACACACACTACACTTCACACCTGACCAGGACTGTCACACACACTACACTTCACAGTTGACCAGGACTGTCTCACACACACTACACTTCACAGTTCACCAGGACTGTCACACACACTACACTTCACAGTTCACCAGGACTGTCACACACACTACACTACACAGTTGACCAGGACTGTCACACACACTACACTACACAGTTGACCAGGACTGTCACGTGCACTACACTTCACAGTTCACCAGTCAACCTATTTCATCGATTAATTTAAAACAATCACAACGAAAATGTAAAATTATCGCCGTTTGTTGTAAAATGTCCGACTTCCACTTAACCATGCATATGACCGCATTTGTGTAAACCCTTCATTCAAAGCTGACCAGGACGGTCACACATTCTAAACCTCAAAGCTGACCACGACTGTCACACACACTACACTACACAGTTCACCAGGACTGTCACATACACTACACTACACAGTTGACCAGGACTGTCTCACACACACTACACTTCACAGTTCACCAGGACTGTCACACACACTACACTTCACAGTTCACCAGGACTGTCACATACACTACACTTCACAGTTGACCAGGACTGTCACACACACTGCACTTCACAGTTGACCAGGACTGCCACACACACTACACTACACAGTTGACCAGGACTGTCACGTGCACTACACTTCACAGTTGACCAGGACTGTCACATACACTACACTACACAGTTCACCAGGACTGTCA